TTCTGATCTGCATTGATACATGTGTAGTTTTGTATGTTAGATTCCGCTGTTCCTACCTTTATTTTTAAATATAAACTCTTTAAAACTTTTGTTATTTCTATCGCTATCGCTATTCCGTCCATTGTGCAAGGGGCTTAAGAGTCAATTACGTTCGATTACTACAAAGCAGCTTATTCTAGTGAACAAAGTTATTGTACCGAAAGTGGGAAAAGTGACTAATCAAAATAAATAAAAAATATCATTACTAACTGTGTTTTACAGGTGGTATGGTTTGGCGAGGTTATTCTCATTGTGGCAGTTGACTCAGGTAAGATACATACAAAATATCACCAATAAATTTAAGTTTAAAGTGTATAAAAAAATAGTTATTGGTAAAAAAATGTGTATTTTATAAAAATTTTCTATTTTTCAAAATAGAAAATTAGATTAATCAAAATAGATAATTTTCTAAATTTTTAAAATGTCGATCAGGCGACTTATGACAATGTGGTAAATATTATTTTTATTTTTCATATTTTATAAAAATTGATTGTATCAAAGTCTCTTCTTCATATGATATAATGATATTATTTACAGGTCACTCACTTCATCTATTTAGGTGGTATGAATCCCGTGGACTCTGCAGGACATTATTTTAAATGTGCCTTTACTAGCGATATAGATATTTTATCTCATGTCACGTGGCTGGGTACAAAAAATTTATACGCTTTAAAAGGAACTCGCTTCGCCGAAGCATGTAAAGATCACGTCTTTATTATATTATTTTGACTACATTGCTTTCATATCTGATTAATGTTAAAGATGCATTCATATTTAATTTACGTTAACAATGTTTTTTCACAGATGCAATGGCTAGAAATCGTGACTACTGCCGACCAACTAATATCGAGTTTGCTGAAGCAATGACTCGCGCTCTTTAAAGTTTAAAAGAGAGGCGACGAAAACGTCAATTAGTCGCAGATTTGAACAACCAACATCAGCAATTAGATAATCGACAACGTTGAAGAGAAAGACCGTCAAGTTCGTAGATGTCATGTGAAAAAAACAACCTCTGCTAGAGTTCACAGAATATCGCCAGAGTTGCTACCTTTCAAAGCACTGATGTAAGTTTAAGCATTTGTAAACTACATTGTCATTTTGTCAACATATGAAAAAGTAAAAAAATCCGAAAAGTTTATATTGCTGCAATAATACAAAAAACATTAAGTTTGTCTTATCACTCGTCAAGTTTCAGCAAACCGAAAAACAAAACTTGTTTATCTGGCGTAATGCCTGACGTTCATTGTGTTGCCTATTACAATAAAATTACATTATATATAGTATTTCTTATACTATATATATATTGTTATTCTTGCAAATAATATAGAATTATTAAATACATTCTTAAATATATTACATTTATATTGTAAACACTATAATGTATTTTATGTGTTATATTTTGTGCTGTTAATAAGCATATATTTCATTAATAATAAATAAATTATTGTATTGCAAAATATAATTTAGAAAATAGTCTGTAATATTTGTGACTTGTTTTTTTTTGCTGAATTGGTCGCACTAGTTCTTAGAGTTTATTTTTTCCTTCCAATATAGTGTTACGTCCTGGAGACTCCACGGGCCCCTTTTTCTTGCAACGTGACGCGCCGACATACAATAAATTCCTTTTTTTTCTCAATAAATAACACGAACGGACTCGGGCTTCGACGCGATAGGCGCGCAAATAGAAATCGTGTCGACGCCCGAAAACAATAAACCGAGCCTAGCAACGATCTTAAAAATTCCTTCGTAGACAATAGTGTAAGATAAAATTATCTTACAACATCAGAAGTGGGATCGCAACTTGCGGCGACAAGTCGAGTGTGCGAATTTAGTCGGTGGTGCGGGTTAGTCCGGTGTCAGTTATATGCGCAAAGAACAAGAAAACAAGTGAAGATGGATCGAGCGGCTTTGGAGGAAGCGACGGTGGAACAATTACGGAAAGAAGCAAAGAGATATAGGCTGCCGTCGACGGGTGACCGTGCTGAATTAATAGACAGCATAATGTCGCATTTCGAACGCCATGGACCCTCAGACCTACTTCAAACAGGCAGAAGGGAAATAGAATCTACACAATCCGCCGGAGCCACGGCTCAGTCAGAGCCGCTAACTGCAGAGGTTTTTCGCGAAACTATGATGCAGATGCAGNAACAATGGATGGCGCAACAACAGCAACTCGTGAGTGAGTTAGTACGCCAAATATCAAATAGAGAAATAGTGCGTCCGACGGGCGATGATCCGAAGATAAATCGTCCGGAACAAGAAACCCGTCGAGAGGAAGGTGAGTCAAGAACTCGTACGGACAATGTTGTAAGATGTTGTTATCTTACAATAGCGAACAGAAACTTTTATTATTGTCTAAACATCCCGAGCAACTTTCCAAATAAACCCGGTTATCTACGGGTCAAAGAAATACATCCTATAAAATTTAGGACAGCCGGCGCAAGTAAAGATC